ACACGTAACCCTCGTTATCGCCGAGCCTGGTATCGTCATCCTTGAAACGGACTTCCCTCCCTACCGCCTCGTATTGCCTTTTTATTGCCTAACTGCTATCCCCTGGCACGTGATCGCCCCCTACTGGCCCCGAACCTCGTGCTCCGAGTGCCAGCAAGACAGCTTGTACCGAGCCGCGGGATTCGTTCGACGAACCCGGACGGAGGCCGAGCAGCGAGCACACAGCCTCCGACTGAGGCCGGCCTCGTCGGATTCTGAGGCTTGCCACAATCAACGTCAGCAGTTCAGGCAGCGCGACCCCCATAGCGTTCCACCAGTTCATCAAATCCGAACCCGGGCCCGCTGCGGAAACCCGCGGGGATAGTAAGTTCACTTCCGAAGGCATAAAAGCCAGACGCGACCCGCACCTACCATCTTGCACAACTTCCTGAAACCTGGCACAGGAGATCCCAGTTCTGACCTGGGACTCCACCCCCACTTTCCAAAAATCCTTGGCACACTCCCCTTTTTTCGCACTAAGTCTTCCAGGCCCAGTCCCACTCCAATCAGGAAGTCGCGGCGGGCGTGAGGTTAGGGCGTCACATACCAGCTGCATATGAGGAAGGATATCGCCGTGCAAATAACACGATACTCCAAGGAATGGTTGGGGAGGTCCATCATGAACGCCACCCAGACATCGGAGGGGCGGTTCAGTCCCCATTCTTGTGCAAGGATGTACTCGGCGAGCTTGCACCAATCAGGGGGGTCTGACATTTCCGCCACCTTGGTCAGCCAGGTGGCGAGTAATACCGAGTTCTACATACCTGGATCTGTAATGGCCAGCCCCCCATGTTCCCTTGCTGCGCACACAGTCTCCCATGCTATTTTTACCAGATAATAAGATATCCTTGGTTCTCCTCTGCTTCGGGTTTCCACAGGAAGCATCTGGCTGCCGTTCGAATGCCCTTAATTGCCGAATCCATAACTTCACCATTCCGAGCACATACCAAAGTAGGGAGAACGCGGATCCCGTAATCACCAGGACCCTTCCAATCAGAGAGGGGTGAGGTGCTTTATCCCAACTCCTGATGCGTGCTGCTACTTTTTCCTGAAGGATTAGTTCCTGGGAAGACGTGGTATCACCCAGTGCCACCTGAACTCCCAGGGACCTCTGTGCTTCCCCCTCCAGTACTCTTTGCATGCCCCACTGAGCTTGCATCTGATAGTCTTTTGGCAAGAAAAAGGCCGATTTGCTCCAAAAAAAAAGGCAAAAAAAAGAAAAATGCAGCTTCTGACAATTCCGCATATTGGTGTAGGCAATCTTTAGGGGCTCCAGCGAGTCCACCGTGTTGGCTGAGGGTGCGAACAGGTCATCAGCCAGGGTCTTTAACCCTGCACTCCCCTCCCTCTGGTAGACCTAGTCCCAGAATCCTTGGGTGAGCCCTGATTGGGGAGAGTAGCTTTTTCCTCTTCCGTTTCCTTTTTTATGTTTTTTTTTTAAACCTCCTGCTTCCCAGGGGGTGTCACTTGCAGGCCCTGGGGTGATAGGAGCAGCCGCGTCCCTGTTGTACATGAATGTTGTTCAGTTGTTGCATCCGCCCAGTGCCCACCTACGGTCACAGCATTTACAGTCTAACGGGATCCGAAGACCCGGTAGTCCCACTGGGACCGTGGTCTTTCGATCCCCTTCTCCCTACTGTAATTTGCTCTAACATGTTGGCTTCTTCCACTCCTATTGTCTCACATGCTCTCCACTCCTTCATCTGCAGTCTATCGGACTCTATCCCCGTACCCGTGTCTTGATTGTGTGCTGTGACTGCTCAGAGGGGACTGATTCCTGGCCGACA